AAGGGAACACTTTTCATTGGTAGCTGGATGTCATTTCTGGCGGCTTACCGCATTTGAGATTTTTAAATGACGTAAGCGGAGAAACATGCTTTCTTTTTTTGTTAAGTGGGTCTGAAGCCATAATTTAGATGTTTGCCAATCGTCGGGGATGCCTGTCTGATAAAATCATAGCAGAGTTAATGAGCCCCGATCTGCAACTTGGGTTTTAAACTCGAAGACCATCTTCATGTGAGAAGGATGAGTCATGCAAGGGGCATGATTGGGAAGGACTCCGGGGGGCCCTGCGGCTGAGCTGAGCGGCTGGTGGGGGCCGCAGGCTGGGTACCGCTCCTGGTCCACACCTCCTGCTTGCCCATCGTAACCCTGTCTACACAGGCGTGGGTTTGAATGAATACACCTCCACCTGCCCCAGCTTTTTACCTGAGGCAGGCTTCTAATATTTCACCCAAAGGATGCCAAGGTTGAGTACAAAGGTGCACCTAGGAGGAAGACACAGCGTCGCACTTGCAAATAAGGGCTTTGGAATCAGGCTGACCTGGATTCCAATCTCTTCTGTTTGTGACCTGGGCCAACAGTCCACCTCTCTAAACCTCAGTGTGCTCCCCCGTAAAATGGGGGAAAAATTTATAAAAGTCATTATACGAAAAAAGTATCTCTTCCCTAGGTGGTGAAATTAGGATTTTTATTTTTTGTATTTCCAAATTGTATACAATGAACATGCAATTTTAATAACTAGGGGGAAATACCGGTTTTTAAAATCCCCAAATTCCCCCCAAGAGTTCAGATACTAAAAGTTTATGTGTCAAGAGCATGATTCTATCTCTGGTGATGGGTTTCTTTTAATGACACAATTAATTCAGCAACCTATTTTAATCCTCACAAGCCAGTGGACAGATGCTGGTGCCCTTTTTAAGCTCTGGTTACAGAAAAGAAACATGAGGCTTAGAGCATTTAAAGACTCCTGACCTGACCTCTAACTAAACGACACCTGAAACAGGAGCTGTTTTTGGCTGGAGCAGCTTCTCCCGGGAGCTCGGGAGCGGGGTCGAGAAGCCGCAGGAACGATGTCTAGGCACCGAGAGACGGGTCGGGGCGGGCAGGGGTGCCGGTAACTCGTGCTGTCCGGGGGTGAAGACTACTGCCCCTCCCTCCACAGGCTCAGGCATTCTGGGAGAAGGGGCCTTGGTGCGGCCGGGCCCCGCGGAGCAGGAACCTTCTAGAGCCGGCTGGCTGCAGGCGGTGCTCATGGAGGAGCCCGGGCTCCTGAGCCAGCCCCGCGCTCCTGGCCTCTCAGAAGGACCCGGGCACGGCGAGCTCCTGCGTGGGCCCCGACTGAGGACTTGCCGCGGCTCTGCTGGCCACGCACGCCCTTCCTCTGATGACCAGTGGCTCCTCTCAGGTCCAACGCAGTCCCTGCCCTGTACGGGGGCAGAATCTCGTTCCGTCTCTGGGCCTTGGTGGCAGGCTCCACATCCCGGGTGGTGGTTTTTGAACCGTCAGCCCCCTGGCTTTTCTTGGGAAAACGGTCCACAGCTTCCACCCCAAGCCTGGTGCAACCCAAGGCCGTCCCCGAGCCGGCCGTCGGGCGTGGGCCGGTGCCTTGCACACAGGCCCTCGGGTGAGTGAATCCAGGCCTCGCCCCAAACCCTGCACTGGGGAGTTGAGGTCAGAGCGAGAGGAGGAAGGCTTCCAAAGGCCGCAGAGCAAACCTGTTCCCTGGGGAGACGGGCAGCAAGGGCTCAGGGGCCCCAGGGAAAGGGTGTGAACCCCAGCCCCGCTGCTAGCTGGCCGCAGGAGCCCAAGCAGATCGGCTTTCTGCGTCACACCTTTGGAATGGGGACAGTGACAGAGCTGCTGCGGAGAGAAATGAGGCCATTCACAGAACGCGGCCTGGGGCCGGGCGTGGGCGCGGCAGGCAGTAAGCCCCGGGACCCGACGGCCGTCCAGCACGTCCAGCACGGCCACCCTCGTCGGCCACAGCAGCCCCCGGCCCGGGCCAGGTGGAGAAAAGGTAACAGTGGAGCGGAGCAGCCATGGGATCCCCTGGTGAGAAGATGGCAGCCTGGTGCTGGGGGCCAAAGACACGGGAGCGAACACCCTGGCCAGAGCCGCGCCGTCTCCGGGGCAGAGAAGCGGGGGGAGCAGTCACAGGGCGGAGGGTGGGGGCCCAGCGCAGGCCGTCGGCCTCGCTGCCACAGGAGGGCCGGCACCGTCTTGTTCCTGCGGGTCAAGAAGGGATTCTCCTGGGGGACCAGGGACAAGAGAGGTGGCAGCCCTGACAGCCCCCCACCTTGTGGCTGGGCCGCCTGCCCTCGGCCGAACGGCTGGCGTCACACGTGAGCACTCGCTCTGACGGGCGCCAAGTGACCTCTCGGGCTGCGTCCTGCTCACCGTCACCGTGGCGAGGTGGCTGCACTCACCTCCACGCCGGAGCCGGCAACAGAGGTGCCCACGGTCCCCCGCAGGCTGGTGGGGGGCCTGCAGGGCAGCGCCTGGCCGCCCAGGCTCTGAGCAAGTGCCGGGTGAGTGTGCAGCCCAGCAGCTGGCTCAGGGTGCGCGCGGGCTCACTGCTGGGATCGGGGACAGGAATGGGGTCAGCGAGTCTGAGGTTCCCCTTGGGCGTGCAAGGGCCACGCTGAACTCCCAAATCCCGGTACCAAATTAACACCACCACCACACCTTTTTTATTTAACCGAGCGTAACAAGTGGGTTTCAAAATGTGATGCTCGGGGCGCCTGGGTGGCTCAGTCGGTGAAGCGTCTGCCTTCGGCTCGGGTCGTGATCCCAGGGTGCTGGGATCAAGCCCCGCGTCGGGCTCCCTGCTCAGTGGGGAGCCTGTTTCTCCCTCTTCCTCTCGCTTTGGGCTCTCTCGCACGCGCGCGCTCTCAAATAAAATCTTTAAAAAAAAAAATAATGCGATGCTCTAAGTCAAATTTTGCCATACTTGAAGGTGAGAACTTCAATTTTAAACCAAACCACAGTGAACGTTAAGTAACAATTTTACATGACTTTTATTTAATAAAACCACATATTTACAATTCAAAAAGTCCTAATTTGATAGACTTTACTAAATAAAATTAAAGGTTAACTGTACAAGCAATTAAAACATGGTATGTAGCAAGTATCATCAGGAAGTTTCTATCAGCAAACTATTCAAAATAGTCAAAAACTGAGCGGTTAAAAAGTACCTTTTAAAGTGAACATTGTTTCTAGATGGGCTTGCGGGGACTGGTGGGGACTCAGCTTTCGACTCTAAAGTGCCAGTTGCACAAGGTCCCAAATCCCAAGTCTTAGATCCAGACAGCCAGCGGCCCAGGCTGGCAAAGTGCAGACTTGCAGGGGGCGCGGCCTTTCGGTCGGGCTCCCCCGTTTCCCTAAGCGATGGCATCCGACAAAGCAGCCCGACCCCGCGGAAAGGGGCCACATGCGTCACGCGGCCCGAGCTCCCGGCGTCAGGTGGACATGGCCAACCGGGAAGACCCCGGGCGGTCCCCAAATAGGCCACGGAAACCTCTTGTGAGCTAGAGATTTGGTGCGTGTTCCAGATCGGCATGGAATCCCGTCTAAAAAGGTAATGCATACGCGGTGACCCAAGTCCCAAGAGACGGATGTCAGGCTGTCCGACGGAAGTGTTAAGGGCTGGGTTTGGACGCGCAGACGAGCTGCGAACGCATCCTGCAGCAGTGGCGCTTCCTGTCCCGACCGAGGAACATCCGTATGTACAGTAAGAAAATATATACACCTTTCAGAACAGAAAGCCCACGTCCGGGAACGACACTCAGCCCGTGTGGGCGAAGGGCTGGGGCCGGTGGGGTGACATTTGGCAGCACAGTGGCGGGCGGGCGGATGCCTCCTCCGAGAGGGCAGCCGGGTCAGCACTTCCAGGCTGAGGCAGAGAGTGGGTCCGAGATGCCCTGCAACCTTCCAGGGGAATTCAGTTAAGAAGACCGGGGGACAAAGGCAACTCCAGGAAACGGGACCCACGGCCACGGCGCGGCCCCCCGCCCGTGCCAGCCGTGAACGTGGCAGACAGAAGGCCCCGGAGAGCCAGGCCGCAGGGAGGCCCCCATCCCGTGCCGCCTGTGGCCAGCCCGCTCTCGGAGCCGGGGCGCTCCCCATATCAGCACCGAGAGCAGCCGGGGGGCACCGCCCGCCCGGGGCGGGGGGAGAGTGTGGCTGAGGGGACCCGGTCTCCCGAGCACTCGCAGACCCCAGCACGCACCGAATCAGCGCCTGGGGACCGGTCTCCACACATCTGCCTGTCCTCTGGGCTCCTCGGTGTGAAAACCGTTCCCGTCTTTGAATGTGCATGACCAAAAGCGCTTTTAACAAAATTCTTAAAGTTAGTCAGGAAGAAGCTTGAACGAGAAAGTTGCGGATGAACTTGGGGGAAAGCCAGCTAAAACGGGAAGAGGCCGACGGGACTGCGTGCATGCGGCCCGCTCCTCGGCCCGCACAACGGTCTATCTTTTAAACCAAAGGCGGGGAGGGAACCGCTGGTCCTCAGGGCTGATCCTGCTGTTCGGGTGACAAAGGGAAGAGCGGCATTCTGGAAGAGAAAGGGCGCAGGCTTGCCCCGCCACCCCGGCCTCCGCACACAGGAGGCGTGGGGGCCGGAGCCTGTCTCCCGTCTCCGGCCTCCTGGGTGAGCAGCAATTCCTGCTCAGGAGACGGAGGGAACAATCTCAGGGGAGAGCAGCGGTCCCCCGGAACCCAAGTGGCCACTTTCAGCCCTCACGCTGGGATTCTGTCAAGGTGACAATGGAGAAAGGCCAACCTGAAGGTCAGGTCGGATCCCAGGGAGCCCACGGGCATGCTGGGTGACCACCCTGTGAGAGCCCGTTTTCCTTTCGTGCTATCTTTGGTAGGTGGGCTTTAAACAGGACCTCCAGCCCCGGAACGGTTCTCCCGGTTAACTAAACCAACAACTCCTTCCTCGCTCAAGTAGGTCAACAAGCCAGCGACACCTCCAAGACCTCCTAAGTAGCATTTCTCACGCACCTTGGCTACGGAAGACTGTAATGTACCTTTCATCAGGTGACATAAAAGCATGACAATTTAATTAGCTTCTGTGAAATAAGGTGGGGGGGGCAGCCGCTGCCTTATTTTTACACCATGCAGAATACACAGCGTTGGCCGTGGTCACACCAGCTCATCGTCCCACCGAGCTTCTTAAGGCTAAGCCTTGGTGAGTCAACTTTAAAAGTTGTTTTAAGGCCAACTCCAGCGTTAGGCTCAAACATGGAAAGAGCCCGTTCTCGGCTGTCCGTGTGTCCGTCTGGAACAACGCAGGTGCCCCCCGGAGATCCGCTCTGATGCCGAGTGCGAGTCCGCCGGCTGCTCAGTGTCTGAGAGACGGGCTTCCTTTCTCCGTGTCCCGGCTGTCCTTCTGCAAGGCCGTCAGCACCTGGGAATCACAGGGGAGACGTCCGTGGGTGATCTGCAAACACACTGGACACAGGTCCTGCAGGTGCGGCGGCAGGCCATGCAGCCTCCTGGCTGGTGTCTCTGCCCCCCCCACTTCCGCTGCTCCCGTTCCTCCCGCCACACCAGCGGCCACAGCCCTCCTCCTACCGTGGAACCCAACCGCGCCATCTCTGGGCTAATGTCCTACAGCCCCGTCCTACCGGCCACAGGACCACCGTCAGGACCCGGCTACGGGGCTCTCCTTCCAGTCTGGCTCCAGCCCCGGCGCTCGCCACCCCCCAAGCCAGGCTCTCGGCTCCCCGGACGCTAACAAGCGCCCCTGGGCCTTTCCGCGCAGCCCCTCCGTCTGCGGCACCAGCAAACCAGGTGTCCCCCGAAGGCTAACAGCCGTGGGCTCTCACGCCCGCCCGGGCTTTCCCAAAGGGACCGAGCCCCCAACTCTGTGCTCGCCCAGCTCCTGGTTCACACCTTCATTTTTAAAGACACTCTGCCTGCTTAGGAACAGTGGTGCACTCTGACCGGCTGCCCAACTGCGGCGCCTCCCGCACGCGGGCTCCAAGTGCAAACAGGCTCTGGGAGGCTAACCCCCGCGGCGAGGCCCCCGAGCAACCGGCACTCAGCCGAGCTCATGTTCCGACCTAGACTGGTGGAACTTCAAAACCGGGGGCTCGCCGACTGCAGTCAGGTAGTACGTCACTGTAACTGAATTACAGATTACGGGGGGGCGAAGCAGAAACACCTTAGGTAGGTTTCAAACAAACTGCACAGAAGGAAGTCCCCCTCTCTACCTCTAAGTCGATGGGACTGCTGAGCAAACATATTCATTTACTCATCTGTAAAGCTCTCCGGGGTCCCGACCTGAAGAGCTTGTAAGAGGAACGTGTACAGACCACAGTTCCCACGGAGCCTAGCACCGTATAAATTCGATGACGCCCCCCGGCCCCCACCGTCAGGCTGATTCCCATTGTGATCCCGTGATTAGAAATGCCCCACTATCCAACAACCGCTGACCCAGTTTGAAGTGAACATTTTTACCTTGTCCCCAAAACACGAGAAGGGCAACAACAGACCTGGGTTTAGTCCTGCCCTGTGTGTGCCCGCGTGGGGGACGCTCGGGGTGGGTGGGGCGCAAAGACCAGCGACAAGGAGCGGCAGACCGGCGGACCCTCGAATGCAAGCGTGAAGTCAGGTGGTGACCGAGCTACGTGTGGGACAAAGGATTTGGTTTTCTGCAGCGACTCCAGAAACCCCTCAAGCCAGCGAGCCACGGAGACCTCAGCGCGCCCTCCCACACGGGCCAGCTTCACAGGCACGCCACGCAGGCCGTCACATGGGGTCCCCACCCAGAGGGGCCTACTGAGCTGAATGCTGTGCAGTCACCTTCTTGAAACTCTTAGGGATTCTGAACAGTGATCCCAGATTTCCATTTTGCACCGTCCACTGACTTGTAACCAGAGAAAGGCTCCTTCTCCCTCTCGCCAGATCCCTGATAATCCTACAGCCAGTCCTGCTCACACACTATGACATAGAATTCCCTATAATTGGTCCATTTAGAGTGTACAGTTCAAGGGCTTTCAGTGCATCCATGGATGTGTGCGACACTGCCCCGGTCCATTTCGGAGAACCCCGTATGCTCCCGTTTCCCCCCACCTCCCCAGCCTGCCTGACCCCGCCCACTGCCAGGGCGACCACTCGCTGACTTCCTGTCTCCACAGGGGACCCTGTTCTGGACTCGCCTAAAAATGGAATCACAGAGAGTGTGGTCTTTAGAGTCTGGCTTTGTCCCTTCAAATGATGTTTTCAAGGGTCATGCATGTTGTAGCATGTCAGGACGTCCTTCCTTTCATCAACAGATTGTATTTAATTTTTCAAAAATGCAAATCCTATCACCCAAGCACAAAACAGTGCCCCTCCCCACGGACCCCCTCCTAGTATTATCCAAGCTCCCATACAGCAGCCGTGCTTCTTCCCCAAAGACCTACACAGGGAGGGAGTCTGGCAGCCAAAGAGAGCATCATGTAACAGGACAGGAAGGACAGGAAGGGCAAGCTCAAGGGCCAGGATGAAGGACCCAGGTAACAGGGGAACTTTCCTCTGTTAATAAATGCACTGAATGGTACACTTTCAAAAGGGTGAATTTTATGGTATGTGAATCACATCTCAACAGAGCTGTCTGTGTTATAAAAACAAACAGGCGGGGCGCCTGGGCGGCTCAGTCATTAAGCGTCTGCCTTCGGCTCAGGTCATGGTCCCAGGGTCCTGGGATTGAGCCCCGCATCGGGCTCTCTGCTCAGTGGGGAGTCTGCTTCTCCCTCTCCCACTCCCCCTGCTTGTGTTCCCTCTCTCGCTGTGTCTCTCTGTATCAAATAAAAATCTTAAAAACAAAAAATAAAAATAAAAATAAAAAATAAAAACAAACAGGCTGCTAGAGAGAGCGAGCCTGATCGCCCATGAAGTAATCTTTAGATCTAACAGTCACCTCGCAGGAAATACAGTTTTGGGGACCATGCTGAACACCACCACCAAGATACACCCAGCAAGATCCAGACTCTGGGAGACGCCGCAGGACACATGAGCTCGTTTTTTCAGTAAATAGAGGAGGAGGGATAAAAAGAAAGGTGGGGTAACCCATATAATATAAAGAGACTAACAAGATCTTTCAACTAATGGCAGTGTGAACCTTACCTGAATCTTGATTCAAACAAACTATAAAGCCGCAAACACCTGAGACAGTTAGAAATTTGAAAACGCCTGGATATTTGACAAGGGCGTGGGATCCGTTATCTAGTTTACTCTATTTTCGTATGTATTTAAAATCTCCCACTAATAAAAAAAGTCACAGGAGAGTACAAGCCTCCACAGATAGTCTCCAACTCATCTGATGATGCTTGGACAAGCTTTGAGCCGATACAGGGTCAAGAAGCAAGGCTATTTTTCCCTTCTCGTACCATAAAAACTTGGAGCCAGCTAACACCGGCCAATCCCAGAGGGGCCAAGCCCTATGCAGGACACCCAGAAAGGGCGAGAGGAATCTCGAAGGAGGCCCAGGCTGGACTCGCTCGCACACCGTCAACTCAGCTGCTCCCCTGATTCAGCCACCAGAGGGCCAGCTCGACCCATCCCAGAGGAGCCATCCTTCAGGTCTCCTGTCCTCCAGTGACCTTTGTGGGCCTCCTCTATTTACCAGTGATGGGGGACAATCCCACCACCCTGCCCCAGGGCACGGCGGGGAGGGGTGCTTGGTTTAGAAAATGCCTTCTAACTTGTGGAAGCACTGGCAGGCAAGAGATCCTGACCTCCCGATGGTGCTGACGGATGGCTGGGGAGCCTTCTGTTACCACCCTCCTTCTGAAACTCAGAGACGGAAGGACTGCCCAAGACCCCGCACAGCACAGCCCAGCCTCAAACCCAGGCTCCTCGTGTCCAGTCCAAGAAGGACTTTATCTGTTTTCTCAAAAGGCACTTGGAGTAATGACTTCCTCAGTCAGGCCACCGGGCTGGGCTACTCTGCAGGAAAAAAGAGAACAAAAGGCCCATTTACCTGGGCCCACTTTCTGTTCCGACTCTGCATCTGAATCGTAGCTATGGAAGCGAACACCTCCTCCGCTGGCAGGTCGTCCGGGAGCCTGGTCAGGAACTGGGCCATGTGAATGAAGTCCATCTTGGTCAGGATGTCCTCAAACAGCTTCAGGATGCCCAGGGCCGTCCGGAACAGGAACCCTTCCCCGTCACGACAGAACACATCCCAGATACGACAGGCCAGATCCAGGGGCAAAGATTTACTGTACAAGGTAAAGATCCTGGGGAAAAAAAAAAGTTTTGAGAGTTTCAGGTTTTGGATGGCACAAAGAGCTCTGAATTCAGGTCTAATCCACTGAAAATGCTCCCAGAGTCAGTCGCTTTCATACTTAAGACACATGGCAGGGGAGGGGGAGCAGGCAAGAGGCCTGCCTTCATTTTGAAGGCCAATTCTGTAAGAAAGCATTTCTCGGCTTTCACGCGGGATCCCAAACACTGAACAATTGCTGAACAGCTGATGCTGATCACACATATATGCAACAAATATTTATCGAGAATCTACCATGTGCTTACTCCATAGGAGGTGCTGGACACAAGGTTAATAAGGTGCACAGACCTTAGAGTCTGAGGGAAATAAGAACAGTCCAGGGACTATAACCAGTGCACACACATACTCCCCACTCCTGAGGAACACTGTATACTTTTCTCCCACTAGGGGTCTGCAGAGGAACAAAGCAAAATTTTCCAAATAAACCTGAATGCAGATGGTAACAAACTGATCTTAGCAAACGATCAGATGAAAAAGTGAAATGCAGATAGGCACGATCTTAAAATATTGTGATAATCACCATCCAAACTACCAAAACAAATACACTATTGGGTGATTGACTGTATTACCAGGTTTAAGCATTTCTAATCTGGAACGTGCTGGTATCACAAAGAGAGGCGAAGCCAGGTTGCGACGTAGGTCGAACGGGTTCTCCGTGACCCCATTCTCCTTCCTCGGCTGGGAGACATAGCCCGGTGCCAGCCCTGGGGTGTCTGCTGACCCCCCTAGGACTGGCCGGATGCTCCCTCTGACTCCAGTGCTTATCAGAACACGTGTTTGCTTTGGTCCTCCCCATGGAGATGCCCAAGAGCAGGTTCCCTCCACCTCAGCACCTAGCACAGCACCTGGCAATCTCTGCCGAGGAAGCAGATGGGTGGACGCACCGCAGATCTGCTCGGGGGGTCCTAGACGTGGTGGTTCTCACCACCTCCTCATGGGCAGCAGTGCTCACTAGAAGCGGGGATTCTCAGTTGCCGGGGGACACCCCCCCTTCCTCCTGGAAAATCACCCGTCCACAGTTTCAGCACTGCCTTTGCGCCCGCGGCCCCAGCTCGAGACACGCGGGGCCGGTAAAGGCATCCGGCCTCAGGCGTCGGACCCCGACTATGGGGCTGGCCTGGTCAGGAGGGACTGTCATCCAGCCTTCAACAGCGGGACTCCCGGCTTCCTAGAATAGATGCCACCAGAGAGTCCACGCCACCCTGGCCAACGTGCTCACGAGGCTCCTGCGCACGGCTTTCCGAACTCTCACCTGGCAGCTTGCTCGGCCCCAGCCTTTCCTCCGGGACCCAGACGGACGTGTCACGCAGTCAAGGGTATGTACTGAACACGGCATGCTAATTAAGACCCCAAGCCATGCAAGGCTAGCCAACTCTAATGAGAGACTTCAGGAAGGCACGCCAATTTAGATTTCATTCAACTCAGGAGACGACACAGGAGACGAGCATCACAGAAAGCCCCCATGTCACAGCAACGACAGCTGAGCTTTGACGAAGGCCCCACTATGTGCTCGGCAGCCCCCCACCCCCTGCCCCGGGCACGCCAGAACCACAGCTGATTCCACAGCCATGGGAGGCAGGCTCTTCTGACTTCACCCCAGGGAACTGAGCCCCGGGTCCTGCCACCGTAAGAGCTGGAGCCAGACTGTGACCCTGACCCCGAAGCCCAGGCCCTGAAAGTCCGGATCGCTCTGAGGAGTTGGGCGACCCACCGGTGTGACCTTGGTAGGACACGTTATCTTTACAAGTCACAACAAGCCTTCAGCCCGAGCTTGCTATTTCACAGATGGAAAACCATCTCATCAATCAGCCGAGAAAACAAAGAGAGTCAAGAGATTTTTTTTTTAAGTTTATTTATTTTTAGTAAACTCCACGCCCAGCTTGGGGCTCGAACTCACGACTGTGAGATCACCACCTGAGCTGCAACCAAGAGTTGGACGCTTAACCGACGGCACCACTGGGGCACCCGCAAACCCTTAACACCCGAAAAGCAGTCTTAAGTGAGAGACGATCAGGACACAAACCCAGCTACAGGCGAAGAAGAGGGAGAAACACTGCAAAAGAACGTCTGTGACGTGAAGCTCCTGGGTTCAGACTCACGCGTGCGTCTCCACAAATTACCTTAACGCCCCGGGTCTTGTAAAATGAAAAAGAACGCCAGCCCCTGCCTTCGACGCACCCGCCTGGCCTTCACACCCACCCGAGGCACCTACCGTTTCTCTGTGCGACAAGTGCCCAGACCTGAGTCCTTCTGGTGCCCAGCAGGTCAGTCTACCCACCAAAACTCCCTTCTGAAGCCTACTGGTCCATGCTCATCACCACTGGGTGGTGAGGGTACATGGCATCAAACAAAACGGACAGAGGTGCGGCCCTCCGGAGGGCAGGAATCTTGGGTGATTGACTGTATTATCAGGTTTAAGCCCTTCTAATCTGGGCTCGGCGGGGCTTCCTGCTCAGTGCTGGCACCGAGGCTCACATCTGTCCTAACAGTCACCAACCGGGCCCACGGTGTCCCTGAGACAGCACAGTGCCGACACAAGGCAGCTCGCCCTGGGATGGCCGCCCGGGGCCCTGCCCTCTGCCTCCTCACTATCCCCAAGCCTGTAGATTCCTCAGGCTTTCAGCAACCAGGGCACAGCCCCTCACCCCCCAGGGTCACATCACTGCGTCCCCTCCTGCTCCGGGGCAGACATCTCTGTCCGCTCCCCTCCTCCCACCCCTCCTGCAAGCCGCACTGCTCACACTGCCCACCCCTCACTTTCCCCTTCATTGGAGACCACTTCTGAGCCCACACTTTCGGATGCTTGCCTGCATTTCAAACCCCACTTAGATTCAAACCGCCACTGTGAAGAGGCCACTGAACCTCTCTTCCCCGGATTTCCTCCCAGGAGGAGCTCACGCGGACACCACTCAAGCAGCCGAAGAGAGCACTCAGCTCCCGGCCACCCGGCTCTGCCCTCGCCCCGTGGCAGCCCTGGGATGGGGACGGGGACGGCTCCTGCCAGAGCAGCAGGAACAAGAGAGCTCCAGCCCTTCAGTGCCCTCACCGCGCCCTCAGCACTCGGCTTCCTCCTGCCTGGACCCGCGAGTGCGGGAGAGGCAGGGCCCCTGGGCCTGCCCAGGACGCTGCAGGCTTCTAGCCACGGCAGCAAGAGAGAATTCAAGGCTTCTTCCCTGGACCGCTGCACGTTACTGCACCTTACGTCAAAATGGTAACTTCAGGTACACGTTCACTAATGCAAAATAACGTATTTCTATGTTGCGGAACTAAAGAAGTGGCTATGCGCTTACAAAAGACTTCAAACACACCTTGTGTGCATCTGCTTCCCCCATGTGTGTGGGAGAACAGGTCAGGTTCTTCCTGCCAAGCCCTCCCAACTTCCAGAAAACATCCTGATCTGCAACGTCACTCTAACTGATGGTCTGAGCTTGCAGGAACATGAGGGGGTACAGGAAGGGGGAGAGAGGGGTTCCACAGCCCCCAAAGCCTTCACGGAGGCCAAGGCTCATTCTCAGAAGCCAGCCCTTCCCTCATCCACTCCCCGTAACTGAGGGGAGTGGATGAGGAGGTAACTGAGCTGATGGGGTAACTGGCTTCCGCGCTGGACGCAGCTTTATACACTCTACAGCTTCTCCAATTTCTCCCCGCTGCAACTCCATGAGGACGTACCATCACGTCCGCTTCACAGACGAAGAAACTGCAAAGAAAGGGAGCCTGTGGGAAGTGGAAAGAGCCTGGGTGGAGGCACCATCCAGCGCCTCCCCTGTGGAGAAGCCACAACTAGAGACTTGGACCTTCTAAGGCCTGACACCACCATTCCCGGCCGTGCCCACATGTTCCCAGAGTTATGAGCCTCTGCCCCTACAGCTGGCTTAGGAAGTGTCCCCGAGCCCCTCCCTCACCACGTGCTCCCCGTGTTCCTCACAAACTGAGACGAGCAGTTAGAACAGACGTTGCTAGGTAAGACAATTCGATTTCGCGAGGGCTACGTGCATTATTAATGCCAAACATGAACTGCATTCGTTTAAGACTGGGAGGTAGCAGGGCGCCTGGGTGGCCCAATCGGTGAAGTATCTGCCTTCAGCTCAGGTCATGATCCCGGGGTCCTGGGATCCAGCCCCACATCGGGCTTCCTGCTCCGAGGGGAGCCTGTGTCTCCTGCCTCTGCCCCTCCCCCCGACTCGTGCTTGCTCGCTCTCTCAAATAAATAAAATCTTAAAAAATAATAATAATAAAAAAAAGACAAGGCTGGGAAGTAGTCATGACTCTGTTCCAACTCAGTTCCCAAGTCCAGCCCCCGCCCGAATCCTGGAAGCAGTAAGATCCCCCCCGCCCCCTGTGCCCACAGAGCACCCTCTCATTGGGCCCTCATGCTGCAGCCCCAGCGGGGCCGGCAGGCAGCAGGAACGACGCAGGGGCCCTGGCACCGCAGTGTAGGCTTCCCACTGCGAGCTTGCAGCCCTCCCCGTCTCCCCCCAACGCTGACGAGGGCCCCGGGTGCGCCAGCCGCTAGCCCGGGCGCTTGGGCGCTTGGCAGGACAAGCCCCTGCTCCTCAGGAGCTCATAGGCGGACCTGTCACCCCAACGTTAAAACCTACAAATGAAATGAGAGCGAGATGCAACAGAAACTGGAATCTGCCAACCACAACCTTCACCCTGAACCCTTCCTTCAAGGTGGAGATTCAGTGGGATGGTGGGACCGCCAAGGACCCCCAGACCTCACTTCGACAAACACCATGCGTGACAGGGAACGCACTGCTGGACTCTTCCACAAATCCAGACTGTTTATTACAACACCCGTTCACACCTCCAGATAATCCTGCCATTCGACATCAGCGGGAAAGAGTTCAGTAAGTTCAGCAACCATGTGTCAATCCTGACACAAAACAGGATACCTGACTGAACACCCAAAACTCTGCAGGGAGACGAACACTGCTGGGGAAACCATGCTCTGGCCCTCGTACCTCCACGCACAGAGAAGAGTGACACGCCACACCACGCACCCCTTTCTCCGGGAAGGCGGCACTAGCAGGTAGATCTAATTCTCCACCCTGAGGTCTCTGCACCAACGTCCCCCAGTCCGCACAGAGTGACAAGCACCGGAGCGGCCTCAGGCTGCATTCTGGAAGGGGCCCCGATCTAGGACTCAGAGCCACATGCGGGGCCGGACACGAAGGCCACAGAGGTACCCAACAAAGCTCCGTCTGTGAGCGGAACGGCAAGAAACAGAGTCAGCCGCAGAGCGGGTCAGCGCTGTGACGGAGGGAAGCGTCCGCTGCAGGGGTGGAGGGGAGGAATGAGAGCATTCTGCAGGAACCCCTCTCCAACTGTGCTACGTAAAGGCCGAGAAAGCTACCCAGTCCTACTGCACAGGGCACAGGAACCGTCCTGGGAACGAGGCAGGAAAGGAGCTGTTGTCATCGTCGTGCCCACGCAGCTCCCCGGGGGCCCTCAGCCAGCCAAGCCACAGGGGCCCATCCACCGTCGGACCGGGGGCAGGAGCAAGAGGCCTCGTCGTCGGGCAGCCAGCACCCGGAAGCCTGGGATGTCCCTTGTCTCACGGAACACGTGCCCCGCGCCCGTCCGCCAGCCCTGCCGAGGCAGCGCCCTGCTAACGGGGTGCATGTGGCTTCGGGCCGGCTCGGGTAGCACAGTCATAAGGCAAAGGCTCTGGCGTCCGACCAGCCCGGGTGTGACTGGGCAGGGGCCTTGGTGGCTCCTGTGAAGACAAAACCAGCCGTGAGCGTCTCTGAGCGCTGGGCTTCCAGGGCACGTCCTGGGCACAACCGTGCTTTCCCCGGCTTCCTCCTCGCTGCCTGCCCGGCTTCCCACCGGGGCCGTTCCCTGGAGGCATCCAACTAAGAACCTGAATCAGCGCAGACCATCCACAAATCCGGGCTGCAAGGAGCGCGCCAAGAGCACGCGGTTTTGCTGGGCCCGACTGCACCTCTCCGCTAGCCCTCCACCGCCATGCAAACGCAGACAGTGTTCTCCTTGGTCCTTATGCCAGAGAGCAGCCGAGCAGAGGCCTCCCCAAAGCAGGCTGGGCAGCATTCACGAGGCATCAGGCACCAGCCACGACCCATCACGAACCCTGGAGCTTCCTTTTCCTGGAGACCCCCTGCACGCTGCGTCAGTTTTCATCATGGACGAGTCTGGTCCAGGTTCACACTCCCAGGAGCATCATCAGCATGTAGACTCAATCTCTGGAGCCCAAGCTCTGGGACCCAGCTCTCGGGGTACGCTAAGTCCCCACCAAATCCCTCAGAAGGGCTCCATGGGCAAGCACACAAGGTCCGGAGGAGCGAACGTGAACGCTGAGTGCCAGGTAGCCATAGGACCTCGGGCAAGCCGCTCTGCCTCTCTGAGCCTCAGTTTCCCCATCTAGGAGCCAGAGGTGTCACACTTCACTCTAAGGGGTTGTTCTGAGGTTACAGGAGATCCTGTGTGAGCAGCACTGCAGTCAATGAATGCAGGCGCCCTTGGCCTCTGCCCCCATCTGGATGGTAGTGGTCTACAGACGAGAACAGAGAAGAGCGGGTCCTCTAGGACGGTGCTCTTGGCGCTGCCCCTCGTGACCCAGTCAAGATTACTGCACTGGGAAATCAATCAGGGTGGATGACCACCAGTAGTTTTTCTTAAGTAAACAGAATAGGAAGTTTCAGAATGCTTCACCTTGACAAAGCAGGGGCTGGGTATTGTCTGAAACTTATCTCGGTCAGGTACACAGAGGAAGTTCCCGTACATAACGGCCGTGCACCGCATCACAACATAAAATCCCTTTCCTTTTACGAGTCAGGGTGAAAGAGTTTGAAAGACACTATCCCAGACAGTGTTTTCCAACTTCAGTTTTAGCCCGAAATCCTACGAATCGGAGTTGGAGGCCTAACACAGCTGAGGCAGAAGCTGAAGGCTCTGGTGCGGTCTGACCCCCCCGAACACCCTCCCCACCGTGCGAAGTCACGGTCTGACCCCCCCGAACACCCTCCCCACCGTGCGAAGTCACGGCCAGCAGTGTGTTGAGGCCCAACTGGGCCATTCTGCCGAGTGACATCTTTTTTTCTGCAGAGCCCCTCTGTAAGCCGGGTGGCGGGGGCCAGGGGTATCAGCTTATAAGGCCCGACGAGGTTCATCACTGCAGGCGATGGAGGAGAAAACGTGTGCGGAGAGGGTTAATGCCCATCACCAAGGCCACGAAGCAAGTAGCAGGAAAGACTGGACCAGGCCTGAGGGTTCCAGAACCATACTCCTCCCACCACTGTTCCACACTCTGCTGCTAGCCTTCTCACCTGCCCCCAAACACGGTGTTCTTGCGGGTGACATCCCACCCCTTCCTCGGGCGACCACATCCACCTCTGCATGAAGATTTGCCTGGCCTACTGCTGCACCGAGAACTCTCTGGAGCCTCCCATCTGTATGTCTACTTAGATGTCCAGCACGTACCTCCAAATCAGTGTCCAAAATCAAATCTATGAAGCACACTGCCAAACCTGATCCCAGCTGGGAGTACCTGCGAGCCCCTCACTAGCTGGACACTCGAGTGCAGGTGATTCTCGGCCTTCCCTCACACGTCCGCAAACTCCCTCAGGGACCGGCAGCTCTCCTCTCCCTCGGCCTCTGGCCCCCCTACCGTCCACCAGCTCCCCACGCCTCAATTCAAGCCCTGGTCTTTTGGCCTTCATGTGTCCCTGCCTCCAGGCTCCCAAGTAACCTAAAGCTCACTTCTGGATATAACCCGCCTCCATCCTCACCCTGAGCAAAAGCCTGCAACCATTCCCTCTGGCCCCTGCAATCCTGCCCAAGCTCCGCAGCATGGGACCTAAGTGCCACACGATCTCTCACCCCTTTACTGTAGGCTCCAGCATCGCCAAACCAACTGCTATAGCCCTGCTAATTCTGGGCCACCACGTGCTCACGTCACGCCTTGGCTCAAACTCACGGGTCACCTCTGTGTACTCTGAGCCGAGCCAGGGTCCAGGGCCCTGCCCATCTTCCCTTCCTAAGAGACAACACATACAACACACTACAGAGCTGTCCGTGGGCGCAGCTCTTCCCTCTGGACAGAGCTCTGGACAAGCAAGCACCGTGTCCTGCTCCCCGCTCATCACTAGATCCTAGCAGGGAGCCCAGCACAGACCTGTGGTTAGTGATATCTCGCTTACTGCACGGATAAACGGCACTCTGAAAACAAAAAGGTCCACAACACCGTTTCTCTCCTTGGCCGAATAAGGAAGGACACAGTAAAACAGACCTCAGAGCGCCTGGCAGATGCAGGAGCTTGAAAAGCAGAGAGCACCTCAGACGCAGGGCAGTGGGGAAGACGTTAAAACAGGATGTGGGAGGGAGTCCAGCCAAGCCCAGGAAGAAGCCGGCAGTGAGGACAATGAAAAGCAGGCAGGGAGAGGAGAAAACACATAGAAAATTCAGTCTTACCAATCAATCAGGTAGATGTCTGGAGTTAAGTTGTTTTTCTTGAAATGAGCAAATAATTTCGGCAGATTTTCCTCAAAAAACACCTCAAATGCAGCAAAATAGGTCAACATCTGGGGAGACAACGTGAGATAGACCAATCAACTAGTTATCAGCACAGACTTCCACTCTACAGCAGAAAGGCGACATATGGACACTTTCAGGACAGGACAACCGTCATCTGCAGCTGCGTACACGTCTCGCTGGGCCCGGGCAGTTCCTACCTGAGCCCCTTCTCTGCTCTCCACAACGTCACCCGCTACATGGTCGTATTCCCTCCGCTTACACAGAAGGCGGCAGAGGCCCCCTGGTGTGCGGCAAGGCTGGGACCTGAACCGTGCCTGACCCACTGCAAACGCTGAGGGTCGTGGGCTGGCTCTTCTCCAAGAACCAGGAAGGAAGAACTGTCTAAAGGAACCCGAGAAAGCACACGTCCCGAGGGAGTGTCATCCTGATGTGCGTGGCCCCAAAACGCTGCCCTTTTAATGCAGCGAAGGGAGAAAATATTAAGGAAAAGCAAGCAGTCAGAGCCTCTATGGTAAAGGCACATGCTTTTCAGCTCCGAGAGGTTTGCAGGAAAACAGCACGCACTGAGCAGGGGAGTGCTGCTGGAACAGCAAGAACAGCCGGGGTGGGACTAGCAATGACCCGCGTCAGAGTGGCGGCCCCCTCTTGGGCCGTTCACCTGGATGCACGCGGGCAACTGGCGACTCTCCGACTCAACGAAGGGATGTACTGTAAACCAGCGGGTCCCGACTCTGCCTCCCGGGGGGACACCTGACAATGTCGGAGGACGTTTCTGATGGACACGCTAGCAGGGAGGTGCTACTCGCATTCAGCGGGGAGAGGCTGGGGATGCTGCTGGTCTCCTCTGCAGCACAGGACGCCCCCCCACACCTATCAGCCCCCATGTCCACGGCGCTGTCAGGAGACCCGCTGTCAAGAAGGTCCCGTTCCACACTACGATTCTATGATCGTGCCTTAAATTCCAGAACCACAGAAATTGACAAGCGCAGTTTTTATCATATGTGTCTAAAGAGAAAGGTGGGGTCTTATCTTCACAATTAGGAAATACTGAGATAGAAATCATTTTATTATATATAACAAGTATTTTCCTGACTACGAAACCTGTAAATGCTCCCTGTAGAAAACTTTAGTATAGAAACAAAAAAGATCATCCATAAATACTATTGATATTGTTCATTTCCTTCTATTGTTAAATATGGTAGCTGTTACAGCACATGTTCTGCTTCAGATACTTTTGAAAAAAAATCAGCTTTCTAGGGGCGCCTGGGTGGCTCAGCCGTTAAGCGTCTGCCTTCGGCTCAGGTCATGATCCCAGGGTCCTGGGATTGAGCCCCGCGTCGGGCTCCCTGCTCTGCGGGAAGCCTGCTTCTCCCTCTCCCGCTCTCCCTGCTTGTGTTTCCTCTCTCGCTGTGTCTCTCTGTCAAATAAATAAATACAATCTTAAAAAAGAATCCACTTTCTGATCTTACTTTTCCACAATATGATGCCAATCTCATTACTGCACCGCATACGCTGCCAGATTTTACTCTCTTATTTTAACTGCAGTACGTTAACACACAGCGATACCTTATTTCCAGACATACAATATAGTGAGTGATTCAACAGCTCCACACATCACTCAGTGCTCAGTGTGCTCCTAACCCCCATCACCTATTTCCTCCATCCCCCTGGCCACCTGCCCTGGGATAACCACCAGTTTGTTCTCTAGAGTTAGGAGTCTGTGTTTTGACTTGTCTTTTTATTCCCTTTGTTCATTTGTTTCTTAAAGTCCACATATAAGAAAAATCATATGGTCTTTGTCTTTCTCGGACTTATTTCACTTAGCATAACGCTCTCTAACTCCATCTATGATGTTGCAAATGGCACGACTTCATTCTTTTTCAGGGCTGAGTAATATTCCACTATACGTATGTCTGTGTATGTACATGCCCCCCCGTATCTTCTTTATCCATTCATCAGCAGATGGACGCTTGGGCTGCTTCCACAATTTGGCTGTTGTAAGTAATGCTGCACTAAACAACATCAGGGTGCACATATCCTTCTGAATCGGTGCTGTCTCACTCTGCGTAAACACCCAGTAGTGCGATTACTGCGTTACGTAGGGTAACTCTACTTTTAGTACCTTGAGGACCCTCCACCCTGTTTTCCAGAGTGGCTGCACCAGCTTGCATTCCCACCAGGAGTGTAAGAGGCTTCCCCTTTCTCCGCATTCTTGCCAACATCTGTTGTTTCTACTGCCGGATTTTAAGTAACCATCTGCCTCCCCCTAAACCCCCATTTTAAAAATGCTTCCATCTTTACGATGAAAAATGATTTTAAATAATTACAGTTATAATTATGTAATAACCATCTTTTTCTTTTTTTTTTTTTTAAAGATTTTATTTATTCATTTGACAGAGAGAGAGAGACACACACACAGTGAAAGAGGGAACACAAGCAGGGGGAGTGGGAGAGGGAGAAGCAGGCTTCCCGCCGAGCAGGGAGCCCGATGCGTGGCTCGATCCCAGGACCCTGGAATCATGACGTGAGCCGAAGGCAGACGCTTAACGACTGAGCCACCCAGGCGCCCCTGTAATAACCATCTTTGTCCATACCTGTGACTTTCTCAGGATTGATTCGCACAAGCAGAACTACACACCCACGCCATTTACCACTACTGATAGTTAAAACCAAACTGTCTTCCAAAAGGCCTCTACCAATTTATAGCTCCCCTAACAGCTACCACGTTCTCAGCTGTGTGAAATACTACTTTTTTTAAATGTAGGTACTGCCTGAGCAAGAAACACTCCAGAGTCCTTAGGATATTAAGGAAGAAACATGCCCGAGATTGTCTCCTCCCCTAAGTACTGGTGACTGTTACCAGCAAATCAGACAATGGGCCCCTTGAGTGGGCGGCTCTCCGGGCTGTAGAAAGCCCACGGGCTCAGGAAGCAGAATGGGTTAAGATCCCAGCAATTCTACTCACCAGCTACGTACCCTGATGGATCATGTCATTTCTGGGCCTTGCTTCTTCATCGGCGCCCTGCAGGAGACCCACCTCTGGAAGCACGTGAGGGCCCTCCCCAGGGCAACTCCTGTCAGCTCCTCCCACCTGGTCTGTGTCTACAGCAATAAAGAGGTGGTCGTGACCACGTCCCCTCTCCCGTGTGGGGGTGCAGTGCATGAAGCAGAGCCCCAGGGTGGCAGTGAGCAACAACAGAGTGGGTGATGCCATGCTCTCCCTGATGGACCCAAATGTGGAGGGCACCCCTGAGCTTCTGCCGTGACACAAATATGTGTATTCGGGCAGGAGCTGCCCCTCCTTCCTCATTTAAAGAATGTGTTTTCAGAAATACTTCTGAAAGAACGTGTTAAATACATACAAATGGGACGCCTGGGTGGCTCAGTTGGTAAAGCGTCTACCTTTGGCTCAGGTCATGATCCCAGGGTCCTGGGATCGGCCCCACGTCGGGCTCCCAGCTCTGTGGGGAAGCCTGCTTCTCCCTCTGCCTCTGCCTGCTGCTCCCCCTGCTTGTGTTCACTCTCTGACAAATAAATAAATGAATTAAAAAAAAAACAACAAAGAAATGGCTATCAACCGTGTATTTGGAAAACATACTCCTTTTCCCTCTAAAAAGACAGAACGATCAGCAACCCTGGCTGTGTGAAGGCACACATACTGGGGATACTCACAAGGCCATGGTCCACTCGGAAAAACGCCATTTGACAGGGTTTATTCAAAAGATTAGAAAAAGCAATGAAGGCATCTGCAGTATCTAGGTTCAAGCTCAGCACGGCCGCTATAAAGGACATGCCCTGCACCTGAGGAAGGAGAGAAGGGGGCATTAAACTCACGGCAGCCACCACGGTCGGACCTGCTCTTTCACGGACTGAAAGAGGAACCAAACACCCTCAAGCTAGGAGGGCCCACGTGGCCACCCACCCACCACCACCCACCGCTGAACTGAGCGCCTCCGCGGCACCCACCTGCCCTCCCTCGACTGCTCAGCCACATCGGCCCCCCGCCCGCGCTCCCTCAGCCCCCGCCTCCGGCCACATGGAAAACCATGAACGATGGCATCTGGCACCTGACAGGCTGCCCTCCAGAACGGACGGTGCCCAGCGCCGCGGACATGGGGCTCTAACTTGAGGCGTCAGGGCTCTAATCATGCGTGCACAGCTGCCAAGCCGTGGAAACACAGCAGCGCAGCGTGAAAACGGTTACTGCTTAAAAGTTTTTCTGGTTTAATGCTAAGAAAAAAGAATCCCATGCAAAAAATGAAAATCAAATCCAATCACAATGTGATTAGTGCCACAGAGCGGCCGTGTCAGCTCAACCCCTTTACAAGAAAGGGGAGGCAATTCACGGACCACGAAGCTCTCCATTGCCCCCGACATCAACAACAAAAAAATGAAGGCACCACTCAACCTGACATTTGCAGCTAAGTTGTGCTGGGCAATATTTTGACTTTCTCTTTAGATGGTAACATTATAAGATATTGAAAAGGTTCACTTACATAACCCACATCCGGTCGGTAACAAGTATAAGCGCCCAAAATACTGTGCAACATGTCATGATATGGACCACCCTAAAAGGATCAACACACCAAAAACAACACGTGTGTCAGTCTGGTTAGTACTCAGATGGACATCTGACGCGGCTGCCGGTCACACCAGCTGCTCTCGGAGGACGAACCAGTCGCCAAGCATTATGCTCACAGCTCTACGCATCCTGCATGACTCAACAAGTTCACGACCAATCCACGGTTAACCAGAGACTGCAGCTCAGCCTACAAAGCTGCTTGGAAAAAAGCTGGTGGGTCAGGCATGAACACCTCGCTCGGAAAGCATCCTTAGTCTGGCTCCTGCTGCGTAACCGTGTCTCCCCTCCACAGCTCAGCAGGCAAGCCAGCTACCCCAGGGCTCTTCAGAGCAGGTGACCCGCCTGTCTCCTCTCCTGGCAATGATCCTCGTCTGTCTCTTTTGTGTGTTTCAGCAGGCAGGTTTAAGAAATACCCTTTAAGTGTCGAGTCCTGACAGCGACCATTTTATTAACATTCTCCCGGTCCTGCCACCTGAGACCTGTGCTGGAATTTCCTGTTTCCTAAGTGAGCACAGAAGCAAAAAAGGTACCTCCCGCGATGTCAGTGTGTCTGAAGGCACCGTGAATGGACCGGTAGGGTCCAGATCCCACAGTCCCCGTCCATAGCTACCCTTCGGCTACAGTCAACTTAAGGAATAAAAAGCGTACGTGGCATGTGACGAGAAAGTCACTCTGCACGTGACCGTGTGTGGCTTACAAAAGAACGCCATGGCCCAAACCATCACATTCTGGCGTATACGAGAAGTAAAAGAAGAGACACTTCTAAATCAGACGGACGAAAGAAGGAAAGCCCACACGGGAAGGTAACAAAGACAGCATCCGGTGCCAAGCGGGCAGAAGGGGGACGGGCACGGAGCTCGGTGAGAGACTGCCAAATGCCCACCTGACCACCACCGCTGACCGTCACTGAATGAGAAAGACTAGAACGTCACGCTGAACTTCTCTTAAAGGTAAATGCTTTTAACTTAAAAGATTCTCCACCGTTCTATGTGGAGAATCCTTTCTCTGAAGAAAAGAGGGGGCCAGTGGATGGCGGCCCCCTATTTCAGATGCCCTCGCTTTGGACATCTCCCCACACTCTCCCCTCCCACTGCACTTTGGTTTTTGGTACTACCCACTTATGAATTCAGAGCTGAGGGCACCACAGACTGAGGGACACACCCAAAGGAACCCAGAGGGAAGGAGAAAAGCCAACTTCTCTGCCATCTGCCCCCACCCACACCTGAGAGACCCCTAGAGCCCCTCCTCTTCTTCTGAACACATCTCCCTGCACCAAGATAATTGCCTTGTGACTCTCAAAGTCCATGAGGCTGAGTCCCCAGGACAGACTGCACAGAGATCACTCTGGGTCCCCAGTCTGGGAACGCTGGTCCTCAGCGTCGGCCAGACGCCAGCACCCTCTCAGGCCCCGTTCCGGTTCCCCGACTGCCCTTGTCAGCTGCAGGGCAGGTGTAGATCTCAAAGCACTGTCCTGACGCTCCCCTTCCTCCAGGGCACAGCTGAACTACACGGGCTCCCGGTGCGGCCACAGCGGCCAGGGGTCGGTAAGCGGGGGCCACAGCCCTGAACTCCATGCTCTCTGTTCACTCCTTCGGAGGGAAGTGGGATCCCCTGCACCACCTGCTGTTTGATGCTTCTCTTCTAGTCCTCCTCCTGCCTGGAATGTCTTTCCCATCGTCTGGTCAGACTGTCACTCAAACCTAGTCCAAGCACAGCCTGAGGGCCCCTCCCCCAGCAACCCCATTCCCGACACCCGCTGCCCCCATGCCGGACTCCGAGCAGAGTGGCCCCAGCTCCTCCGTGCTGGGACACACCTACATTTCTGCAAAGCCCCCGTGTGTCTAACATGTGCATCCGCATGCCTGCCTCCTTCCATGTGGCTGGTGAACTCTCTGTTCTGGTTCATTCCACCATCCTTTACTGGTTATCCAGTGTGTGCATGGCGTGACACCAGAAACACAGGCCTGACAGAATCATGTCGGGGATTCCAAAGATGCTTGGCAAGCGCCGAGGTGAGGACACGGAGGCGGCCAGGGACATGTGTGGAGGCTGGCACAGCGATCCACAAAAAGATGGGAATCTGAACCAAGAAGGGGCCGTGGGAACAGGGCAAGAACAGATTCAAGGATATTTCAGAAGTAGAACTGGCAAAAACCGTTACAGACTGGATACGGGAGGGGTCAAACAAGACCCCCGGGGAAATGTCTGCTGTCAGAAGAAAAGGTCTTCACGCCCCTCTGTTCTGATGACTCCAAAATCCACAGGCGGCAGCCCTGAGCCCTGCCTGTGCTAGCTCAGAGGCCCACGGGAGAAGCCACGGTTCTCTTTACTGCCATCCAAAAGAGGGTACTCTATCTTGTCTCCCACGGCTGGTTCTGCACCTGGGGGTGTCACCACTCTCTCCTGGGCCATCTGCTCAGAAGCCCACCCTCACCACAGCCCGCAGCTGCTGAGGACTTCTGCATGCCCCCACCCGCACCCCAGGCTCCCCACCCGGATCGTCTTCTGAGGGAGTGCTACTCTGTGCAGCCCTGAAAACGCAGTCGTAGCCGGGAAGCTCCATCAGATGGAGCAGCACACCAGGCCCTTCTTCCCTTCCAAGGCTTGGGTACATGCATTGTAAAAGGAACCAGAGCTGCCTTTGAAAGCAGAAGGATGAATTAGCCTCGTCTGTAGAGGTCTAAACGTGATGACATAAGACTGCCCTCCCCCACGCCCAAAACCCTAGTGCTTTTCAAACTTGATTACAAACACGTGCAGTTTGGCATCTATGACGTTTACACAAAACATACTTAAAGCAACAAATGACCGCCACCTACTTGCTGGAAAATGCAGAGATTAGGAAACGTCCTCGAAATGTCCAGTTTAATAAGCTCCAAGCTGGCTTCTCTGTCTGCGGCTGAAAACCCGGCATCTGTCAAAAGACGAAGAGTCAGGACATGGCTCAGAGACAGGCACGCGCAATCACAAGGCTCTCAAGTGTGACAGGGATGGACACGGGACATCGTTCTGCACAAGTACACGGGCCGGATTACAGCGGGAGCCCACACGGTCCACCGTGGGCTTCTGAAGAGCAAAACCTCGCAGCACCAGCTGAGGCTGGATCGTCATTAGGGACTTCCCAGAGTCTGAAATCGAAATCTCATCTGATATTACCTGACATCAACAACGGTCAGTGGAAGGAAGGACAAATAAGTGAATATTCACAAAACACACCTTCCTTTGCCCTAAAACATCCCTGGTGTGAACTTAGAATGCACGGCAGTTACTAAGGGGAAATACTCCTGCGTACTATTTCTGACAAACGTTTACAAACAACTGGTTTTGTATTTTGGAATTCCCTCAGTACTACATGAACAGTATAAACAAAGATCAGTAAAAAAGACGCTATTTAAGCACCAGCCGTAATCACTCCTGTGCGTCCGGGGGCATTCTAAAAGCACCATCTAGCACATGTGTGGTGTTCCTATTTCCATGGACTAGCTACCAAGCTCCTGTAGGAGCCAACACTTGACCAGTCCTGGGGGCCAGGCTACTAAAATCACGGGAACAGTGAAACCACACTGGTTCTGACTGGCCCTCCTGCCCGTCTGCACACAAATGCGTCTCAGGAAATGGTCTTTCTCGTAAGCTTTTTCTTCAACTTGTTTGCTCTAAAAAAAGAAAAAAAAAAATCCTTTTTCCCATGAAACTTTTTATAAATTCGCACCAACCACTACTTCGGTAAAGGAAAGTCTACTGTATGATAAATAACGACACACAACTGACCCAAGTACCCCACCCGGTTTAGCAGGGTGTGTACCTTCGTTCTCCGCTTCAGAGCCTCCTGTGCTGAAGGATCGCCACCTCTCCTTGGCTCGGGCAAGACAGATGTCAAAGAGCTCTGGAAGAAAATCCTCAGGGTAAGTATCACGGGCACATGGGCACAGAGAGCACACAACCGCCTCGTTCCAATACTGACAGTTCAACCTCAGTCCGCACGCTCAGGAGACCACATGATCAATTCCCCCCAACATGGCCTGAAGGTCCTACTGCGGCCTAAGACATCAGCACATACTAAGGAAGAATTCATAAAATATTACCACGATGTCGGGTATGACTAAAATTACACAACCCGCCCCTACAAGGCCACTGTTCTGACTTGTTTCTGAGTTAATTGCCTCTACCAGCTGGGAGCTCCTTGGGGGTGAGACCATAAAGGTCTCTCACTCACCTATGTGTCTAGAGCAAAAGGCGCTGGGACTGACACAGATCCATATAATCAACGAACATCAGACTGATGGACGGAAGCAGAGACCAGCAGAAACCCATCTGGTTTCAGAAAAGGACAAGAGGCAGCCCCTACCGCCATGGCCCAGGCGCCCTCATCTCGCTACCGGAAGTGGGGAGGGGGCCGAGCACAATGGGCAGAGGCTTCACGACACCAGGGTTCCTACTGGCAGCCAATTCCCAGGATAAGCCCCCATAAGGTGGGCTCCAAATCTCCCCTGCCCACCCTAACACTTTCTTTTTCAGTAAGTCTTCTCTTTGAGTAGCTTACGAACAGTGAACTAATACCTCATGCTCACAAATTTTGCTGTCATAGACAGCCCTCCGCGGGTATATCCACACCCCATTCTTGAAGGAACCAAAGTGAGGACTCCACCTGCAGAGACTTCCCAGGGCCCCCGGGGCCATTCACCCCAGCCCCGGGTCCCTCATCCACATCCATGTCGCTGATGAGCACCGATGGATCACTAAGACTTTCACTGCAGCTACCCAGAGAATTTCTGTCACTTTACTTTTCCCGTCATTATTTTGGAAAATACAAAAGAGCACGACCGCCTCCCAGACAGTGAATGCTATTTTATTAAAGCATAAGCCAAGCTGTGGTAACAGCACTGTGATCCAACAAGTGAAATCTGATTACGGACCTTTTTCCAGCCTTGTTACAGATCTGACTCACAACACACTGGTCGACCAGGGCAGAAGAGGGTACGACTGTGAAATGTAACTTCACACTATTATCCCTAGACGAGAGGGTCTGGAGAACCTATGCCTCCTCTCTTTCCAGAAGGTGGGCTTGGCTTTGATCATTCCAGCAGAAGACGGAAGGAAACCACCCCACGGCCCCTGACCCCTGGGAACCACTGGCCAGAAGAGGTATGGGACAGTTCAAACACAGACACCGGCAGCCTCGGGGAAGAATGGGTCAGAGCGTCGGAGTCCTGAAAGTATCTCTGTGGCTTTGCTGCTGTGTCTGCAGTGACGAGGGAAACAGCAAACACACCTTCCTCCCAGACCCGGGTTCAAAGCCCAAGGCTGACTTCCCACAGAGCGAAGCTTTAATAATAGTACTACGCTGACTTCCTAGAAGCTTCCGATCTCACAAGCACAACCTTTAAGAGCAAATCTCCAGGGCTTCCCAAGTTGGAACGCAGGCTTCCGACTCAGCCAGGGGTAGAATCGAATCCTGACTCCAGCACGCACCAGGGTGGGGGGCAGTCCCTAACCTTTTCAGGATGGCTGTCGATGTTACAGAAGACAGGTAAGTAAAGAACCGAACGTGATGCCCGCCTCAACAACTGGAATTCACGACTATCTGCGTTACTGGCTTCATTGTTCAGTAAAACGGAGATTAAGGAGAACCCAAGAGGGTGGCATGCATTCATTCAGTGAATACTTCTTGAGGGCCTGCCATGTGCAGAGAGCTGGGCTAGGCCCAGGTGACAGAGCAGAGAGCAGGACAGGTGGGACCGCAGCTTCCAGGGCACGTGCTCTGGCAGGGGCAACGGACACCAGGCAGCTAACTGTACCAGAAAGGTGCGACGTAAATAAAATGAACTAACACCAGCATTTAGACAACTTTCAAGACGTATGATCGATTAACTAGCTGTTTAGCCCCATCTACTCGGATACGGTCCACAGAAGATTCTAATTTCCCTAAAATCAACCCAGGCATCAATGAGAAACACACACACACACACACACACACACACACATACTCTGCATTATGTTCAGCTGTTTGATAGACTTTAGAAATTTTTCAAGAACAAGGACTGAGGCAAATACTCAGCAATTTCTTCAAACCCCTACAAACGAGTCCTACAAGTTAAATGTCACATATAATCCTCTCAGGTAAAGAAGTTAAAATGAGCCAGAAATGGAGCTTGGAGGAGGTCACTAGAAACAGAAACGAGTAACCATCCACACAACCAGCTGACCTTACTCAAGATGGAGAACGCTGCCTGGACAAGGCTCCCATCATGGGATGAGATCAGTGTCTTGTAAGATAAAAAAATAAAAGTAATAAAAAATATGAACCCTAGCTACACAGAGAAGATACAAATCAGTTTTCCGCTCGAACGCCTTCCACGGGGTGAAAACCTCCACCACCAACCACACGAGCGCGTGCTGGGCACGAGCACAAAGGACAGGAGGAGGAAGAGGCTCCCGTCTCAGCGGCCGAGACTGCAGCCAGGGAGAAAAGGGAGAACGAGTGACCGCCAGTTACGAAGCACTAGATTCTAAGTGTCTGAGCTCCGGTGTCAATCTCCCTCTGGGGGCGCAGCCTCGCGGGGTGCCGGGCACGGAGCAGGAAGCCAGTCCGGGGCGCGCGCGGCTGCTGGGGGATGATCACCTGCACACCGCACGGGGCATCCGGAAAGACAAACAGCCCGAAGAAAGCGGAGTACAGATCTCAACCTCCCCTCCGGACTTCGGCTACTAGGACTCAGGGACCCCAGGCCTGGCACAGCAACTGTCCTTCTATGGTGCTTATATATAAGCTGCCTGGAACAAAATGTTGCGAAAAAACCCCACAGTACCCTAGATAGAATGCCTCCACAGAAAGAACACCCACCTTCCTTCCACTGTCATGTCCCCATCAAGCCTGGCTTTCCACAGCACTTGGAGAAGAGATCCTGACGTGACCCAGCCCACCGCTGCTTTGAAACCCGTATGTGCCACCTTGTCTATTCAGGGAAGAGGACAGGTATCAGGAAGAAGGGAGGCGTGTGCTTGGGACTCCCAGGTAACTGAGGCACGTAGGAGTGACCCTGGCTGCCCCGCTGTCTCTCCCTCCTGGAGGACACAGTTACCAGGCCTCTCAAAAGACTCAGCTTCACGGCAGTGGCTACCTTTCTTCCTCACGGGGCAGAGGGGACGGGAGAAGCCAGAGGACTGGGGCTGGAAGGAGGCAGGGGGAGAGGATACATTCTCCAAGCCTAGGATCAGGCAAGCTACTCACCATGGGTGATGTTTAACTCGTTGCCAATGGCTAAGCTCCAGACTTTGCCTCTCACACTGGGAGGGATTCCCTGCCACCATAAATCTCGAACTTTTCTAGAGCACCACCTGCACAAAAACGGAAGCGTGGATTTAGGAGTTTGTTCTCCACGAAGAAACATCTGGCTACCTGTGCGCCCAACCCCAAACCAGAAGAGCAGGGGATACGGAGTCGCATGTGCAGCCCCTGCCCTCGGGGAGCTGCAGCCCAGCGTTCCAGAGGCTGGGAGAGCAACAACAATGGCTGTTCGGGAGCTGAATCCTGAGTGACCGGCAGCAGTTTAAGCAGGTAACGGACGGGAAGGGCTTTCAGAGCAGAAGGCACGGAGCAAGAAAGAGCCCGGGCCGCTGCAGGAACCGCAGACAGCTGGGCGCGGCGTGGGGGTGCCGGGGAGCCCCGAGAGCCCAGCGGCCGGCCGCCGCACTGCACGCAGGCCAGTCACTCGGGGAGTGAGCTGCCCAATCCCGCTGGCAGTGGAGATGCGGAGGTGTGCGGGCCACGATGCTCACGCACCGCCAACAGCCGGGACTAACGTGAAGGTGCCAGGGCTCCCCTGGGGCTTCTCAGCGCAGCACAGCGGGGAAGAGCACGGGCTGCTGTGACCGAACCCAGGTCTGCATCCCAATTCCAGCCTTACCTGCCGAACCCAGAGCAGATGACTTCTCCCCTCTGCCATCCAGCTGCTGACACCCTCCCCCAGAAGGGCGCTGTGAAGGTCAAGTGGGACAGGGCACAGAGGCGCCCAGCCGGTGCACTGAATGCGGGCTGCTGTGGAAGCGCCCACGTCTAGCTCACATCAAGCATCGGCCACGGCAGGAGGCACTGCAGGGGCAGGGGTTCTGCAGCCACACAGGGACACAGCCTAGGGGTTCTGAGCCCCTCCACTCTGTTCCTGGGTCCCCTTTGAGAGGAAGTATTTCCTGTGTCCAGCCTATTAAAGACACTGCCTAGAAAAATCGGGCTCCAAAATAGCCTGTTTTCCTAGCAGAGATCCTCAACAGGGCTGTCTGGGGACCCCTGTAATGAGAGCCAGTAACACCCAGGAAAGTGCCAGAAGCAAGTCCCCAACATCCTAACATCCAGTTCAAGTGGAAAGGGACAAGCCTGAAGGGAAACTCGCATCCACGCTCCCCGGCAGTGCCCACTAATGGGCTGAGGCCCAGAAGGAGCCACCCGCGTCTGCTCCTGGCCTTGGGACTGGGACTGCTGTCCACACGCTGCCCCTCCCCCATTCTGAACGTGCAGGAAGAACAGATCTCTAGCTGTCCCTTGGGTGTTAAGATGACAGCAGCTGCCAGACTCTGCTGGGTACTGGCCACTGGGGGTGTCCTCACAGACCCCGTCCCCATCCTCAGAGGACAACAGATGCTGGAGCAGATGGGTGCAGTGTAGCCAGGGGTCTCCCACAGTCACCTGGGCAGCAAAGTCTTCCCCAAGGAAGCCTGAGCTTTAGAGAACGAAGGGTTAGCTGGATAAGGCGTTACAGGGCAAGAGCATGCTAAGCAGAGGGGATAGAACATGCAAAGGTCCTGCGGCTCCCTAAGGAGAGGGCTCATCAAGGCAGGAAAGCTGTGAGCCTAGAGAGGAAGGAGCAGGTTATCTCACAAAAGATCCCACCAGCTAAGCAAAGGAATTCATACTGTATACAAAGTAGTAGGAAGTCACAGACATTCTACACTGGGCGGGGGACGACGGACACAGACCTGGGTTTAGAAGATCCCTCAGGACACTGAGCAAAGACAATCTGGGGGTCAGATGGGGGATGTCACGGTGTCCAGGCAAGGAACAGCAGGCAAGGCTGAACCAAGGTTGGAAGGGAGACCCCACGCCACATAAGTGTACGGTAAATCCACCGAAGCCTATGACAAGAGCTCCAGTTACACGGCCACTTGCGGTGGTTCTAGAGGGAAACACCCGGCCGCCGAGCTGTGCCCGCCACACCACAGCTTACATTGTTTCCCAGTTAGGCAAAATCTCGTTGTTCCAGGTGAGGACGGCGTTGCCAATGCTCTCCTCCAGTCGGCACCTCTCCTCCAGCTGCCTTCTCCTCCGCTGGGCCTCCTTCACCTCTGCAAACCATGATCACAAGCAAGAAGAGAGCACCTGTTAACCGACCCCCGCTGCTTCCATGCAGGGTGACTTTGCTCAGAGTCCCGCTGCGAAACCCCCCCCAGAAAAAGCGACCGAAGTGGAGCTGCGAAGCTTCCCTCCCAACACACGTTTCAGGCCTCATGGGGTGTAGAATGCTTAGGCCTCATCTACCTCTCAGTGAGTTTTTAAGTAGAACGCACAGACAGAAGAGTACACAAGTAAGAACACAGTTGAACTACCACAAGGAAGAAACCCATAAACGACCACCCCAGCCAAAACCCAGAACACTGCCAACCACCAGACGCCCCCTGTGCCGCCTGCCAGATCTCCTTCCCAATCAAACCTCTAGCCTCGCCTCTCACGGCTCAGGCACAACTCCTAGCTTGTGAGGAGCAACTCTGGGAAATACCATGCATCTTAATCTACCCATGCTTTGCGGTATTTCTTTCACGGTGGTAAAACACCTAAAACAAACAGTAGCATGCTAACCATTTCAGGTGTACAACCAGGGACACTGAGTACGTTCACACGGTTGTGCGACCGTCGGCACCATCCACCTCCAGAACTTTCTCACCTTCCCCGACTGAAGCTCCACACCATTCTACTCTCCATCTCTGGGATGCTGACTGCTCTGGGGGCTTCATGTCCGTAAAATCATACAATATGTGTCCCTGAGTGAGTACCTGATTTCACTGAGCAAAATGCCCTCAAGACCTGTCCACACTGCAGCAGGTGTCAGAACAAATGTCCTTCCAGTTTATGCTTAATATTCGTTGTGGCATGGGGCCACACTGTTTATTACGTATACTTTCTAAATATGCTGTCATCTTAGAGTTTTTAAGTGTTGCATGGATTTTATCAAACCCAATCACATCTTCTTGTAAATGAGGAAAGCGGAGCCCAGAGAGGGGAGGAAGTCTGCCCATCACCTTGGGCTGAAGCTTTACCCAACCTAGCACTTCTGTCCTAAGTGATCTCTTTTCTTGTGTAAATTCAAAGTGTTATCTCCTTGGGACCCCTGGGTGGCTCAGTCAGTTAAGCATCTGCCTTTGGCTCAGGTCATGACCCCAGGGTCCTGGGTTCAAGTCCCACATCGGGCTTCCTGCTCGGCAGGGAGTCTGCTTGTCCCTCTGCCTGCCGTTCCCCCTGCCTGCGCTCACTTGCTCTCTCTCTCTCTCTGACAAATAAATAAAATCTTCAAAAAAAAAAAAAAACCAAAGTGTTATCGCCTTGAAGAAAGCTACCGGAAATGGACAGTTTTAGTGGAAACATATGCTTTTGATGGAAAATTACAAATTTCAAAATATTTAGGCATCCACCAAAGTTCAGGATCTAGGGCTCCAGGAGGTAAAAAGAAAATCTCCTGAAAGACACGAAATCTCGTGCCGTCTTACATAACCAACATGTGCAGATTCCATTACCTCGTTTCTTGGCCTGAACCACCATTTCTTCATACTGCTGCCTGTGTTTCTGAGCTTCTTCAGCTGGCTTCGCTGGGAGGTTTCTTGATAGAAAATAGAGGATTTTCACTATTATAAACATCAAATAAAAGTCTTGGAAAAATAAAACTTGAAGAATCATTTACTAAAAAAAATGAAAAACTCAAAAGACCAAAAAACTACATTTGCTAAGATAACCCAATACGCAGCAATTTCATAAACTAAAAATATTTACTTACAGAAATAAAACAAGCTCGTTATTAAAAAACCCTGAAGGAGAAAGATTAGTAGAAAGAAAGGAACAGTTGCCCACAGCTCCCATCAACGCTGATCTCCCGGGATTCTTCAGTCGGGCTCCAGGGCGACCGTGTGCTGACCACAGTGCACCCCAGCTGTCACAGTGACCAGGAAGTAGGGACCCTAACGGCAAGTGTCGCGCATTTGGATGAATCCGCTCCCCGACCAGTTTCTCAGGGGTGCGAGCTTTGTACCCACTATGGGCTCATTGAGCTCATCTATTTTGTTTCTTTTACATACAAATGTGCATCACAGCTCTGAGCATCTAAATGGATGTGCAATTTGATTCCTGGGTAAAAAAACTCAAACGCACAGGCTCTTCCAGAAACGTGCTGGTGAATTTGCGGGTGCTTAACACCTGGGAGGCGGCAGGTCCCGCTGCTGTGCTCCTCACACAGAGCAGCCCGCGTTCCGGCATATTCTGAATGACCGCCCGGCTTTCTGCCGGAGGGCATGGCGCCTTTTTTTTTTAAGATTTTATTTATCTATTTATTTGACACAGAGAGAGAGAGAGAGCACAAGCAGAGGGAGCAGCAGGCAGAGGGAGAAGCAGGCTCCCCACTGAGCAGGGAACCCAACGCGGGGCTCGATCCCAGGACCCTGAGATCATGACCTGAGCCGAAGGCAGCCGCTTAACCAACTGAGCCACCCCGGCACCCCGGCATGGAGCCTTCTGACAGTGGTGGGAGGGTGGTCCCGAATGGGCTCTTTCTGCGTCCCCATCATCTTTCTATTCCTGCACTGCAGGACTCTCCCCATCCACCACACAGCCACAATTCCCATGGACCGAGAGTTAACATTAGAAGACCCATTTCTGGGTTAGTTAGGCATCCGACTCTTGATTTCTGCTCAAAGTCGTGATCTCGGGGTCACGAGATTGAGCCCCGCATTGGGCTCCGCACTTGGCATGGAGTCTGCTTGCGATTCTCTCTCCCCCTCTCCCCCCACTCCCATGTGCACGCACTCTCTCTCTCTCAATAATTAAATAAAATCTTAAAAAAAAAAGGAAGAAGAAAACCCATTTCTTCTTTAGATTTCATCAGTTTTAGATTTCAGGGTAGGCAGGGACCTAAGGAACCACCGTTTTAACAAGCTCTCTTTCTCCCTCTTTTCAAAGCTGTGGGATCTTTCTACTCAAACACAATGTTCATGGAAGCTCCATACTTAAAGAGAGACAATCTGTGGCCTGGGACAATGCAGCAGTCCCTTTACCTCACTGAGACCTCCAAAGGCGATGTGTGAACCAGTCATCAAAGCCCATCTTATCCACCGATGGACACTAGAGGCCTAGGGAGAGGCAGGCCTGGTAAGATCACTCAGCCCACGTACCGCCGACCCCCAAGAAGCCAGCTGGCCAGGCCAGGAGCTGTCCTACGACGCTGGGATGCCCCCACAACACCCCCGTTGCAGGACAGTTCCCTGCGCTTCTTACCGTCAGGAGCCAGCCCATAATTTACAGTGGCTACTTAGTATTTCTAAATGCTAAATTAAAATGAAAAACCACCTCAATGGAAAACCTTTGTCAAAACTTCTGCGTTAAAGGACGGTTTTGCAAATCAATTCTTTATTATTATTATTACAGCACACGTGTTATAGGAAATAATGAGGAACTGAGAATTTTAATATGTGCTAGGGCTTACTCTTCTTCCCTCTGGTGACCTGAGCTCTTTTGTAACACAGAGGTGATCAGCAAATTGTACTTATCAACTCGAGCAAACGTTCTAGAGATTCTTTTTAAGACTCACGCTGGGGGGCGTCTGGGTGGCTCAGTCGTTAAGCATCTGCCTTCGGCTCAGGTCATGATCCCGGGGTCCTGGGATCGAGCCCCACATCGGGTTCCCTGCTCAGCGGAGAGCCTGCTTCTCCCTCTCCCACTCCCCCTGCTTGTGTTCCCTCTCTCACTGTGTCTCTCTCTGTCAAAAAAAAAGACTCACGCTGGTCTGTCTTCCAGGATGAGTGCGGTGGTGGACAGTGGCTCAAAATCAAGATTCTTCCTCACATTCTGCTTTGGAGAGGGTGGCTTGCTAGGTCGTCCAGCCTTGTCTTCATATTCCTGGGACAAAGAAACAAGGGGTAACTCTGGACCTCGCCAGTTCTGATATTATGAAGCCTCTCTGAGTGCAAGAAAGCGGTTTTGTAATGAAGTCTTTCAAGTCACTTTGAGGATAGCACATCCAAAATACTTCCTTTTCAGAAGGACACATTGGTAACTAAAGGGGTCATACAGCTCTGCAGTGAGGACTGCAGCCTCCCCTGCTGCTGGGGGAGGGGGTGGTCACTGAGGCCCACCATCCCAGCAGTCCCACCTCAGGCTTTCTGCGCTTCTGCAGGGTAAGAGGTGTCTTCTGGCTTCTGGACAATGTCAACCTCTGTTCGTTATTGCAGTGACCACTGGGAAGCTTGAAGCCAGAGCAATAGCCAACTCCAGCATTCATCTGACCCCCTGGCTTCATCTCCTACCCACTTCCAACCAAAATTTCAAACCCCTTTCCTTTTATCTCATGGCATTTTATGTATTTTTGTTAGCCCTCCAAATAGTTTCTGAAATGAGAAAAGGTTAAACATTTTTTGCAGAAGATGATTAAAAGTGTTTCTTTTCATATATTTTTTTTATTGAAGTACAGTTGACACACAATGTCACCTTAGTTTCAGGTGTACAACACAGTGATTCAGCTTCTCTATATGTTCCCTGTGCCCACGATGAGTGTGGCTGCCACCTGTCACCATACAACGCTCTTACAGTATCACTGCCTCTGTTCCCTGTGCTGGGCCTTTTGTTCCCATGACTTATTCATTCTATAACTGGAAGCCTGTGTCTCCCACTCCCCTTCACCCACCTAGTCCCTCCGCCCCCATCTGGCAACCATCAGTGTGCTCTCTGTATTATGGATCTGATTCTGCTTTTTGTTTGTTTACTCATTTGTTTTGTTTTTTACATTCCACATATATGTGAAATCAGATGGTATTTTGTCTTTCTCAGTCTGATTTATTTCACTTAGCATAACACATTCCAGGTCCATCCACGTTGTGCAAATGCAGTTTCATTTTCTTAAAAGCAGAAACATAAAAAAAAATTCTTTAACATCTTTGTATGAAGCCATGACTGCAAGTTGTTACATAAATATTTGTGCCATGAGCAGCCTCACCAGCACTGGGTAACTAATGTGTCCCTTGGTCACACCTGGTGACCCACATTCCAAATGCCCAACCAGAAGAGTTCAGGAGAGTCAAGCAAGCTGGGACCAAAGAGTCTAGCTTCAGAAACAGCGTGTGTGTGTGCGCGTGCGTGTATGTACACGCTCTTTGCCCTCTGCCAAAAAGAAAAAAAGAACCAATACTTTCTTATTGCCTATAGATGAGGCTCTCGGGATCCTCCCACTTAAGGGAAGACAATCTAATTGGCAAGACAGGACAGACAAATGAATAGCTAACCCAAGATTTAAATAACCATTCCAGATAACAACAGAAGCAATATCATGAGTGGAAAGCAATTAATTGCAAAATGAATTAAGTTGACACTCACTGCCAAGGGGGTTGTTACTGGTAACATGATTTGGCCAGCAATTATTCTCTCAACCACAAGAGCCTATAGAAGCTTCTAAAAAGTAGAAAAGTGTATTTATTTCCTCAAAACACACAGGCTGTGAGAAGGGGTACACCAAGAAGCAGGTGGGTGGGGCAGTTTCTGTGCATCTGGGGGCACAAGATTAGATGCCATCGCGGTCTACCAGGAAATGGTCCCACAAAAATACCAAAATGACTTCTGCCTACCCCAAAGTGGGAAAACAGACTCCCTTTTTCATCGAGTCAACACCTGAGCACACACTGTTTCAGGCACTCAGCTGTGACCTAACACAGCATCAAGCCACTGGAAGCTTCACATCTAGCACCAGGATGTCAAAGTCTTGGATTTTATAGACAATCTACCAAAAGCTGTGTGTTGAGCAAGATTCTGAGGCATGTTGCATTTTAACAACAATTAGTAATGAATGCCCTGTAAGGTGCTACTCATCTGCTGACCATGGTCTAGTGAACTATATGCCAAGGCCAAAGATGACAAGCCCCAAGTTAAATGTCCCAGAATGTGGACACCCATTTCCATTTGCTTTTGTGTGCTTTACACATACTGTCTCATTCTATCTCTGTAACAATCTCCATGGCAAGTCTCGCCCCATTTTACAGATAGGGTAACTGAGGCTCAGGGTGAAGTGTCTTACCCCCAAGTACACAGCCAGCAAGGGGCTGGGGTTGACCACTCCGTGCCAGCCCAATCTCTTTGTGAATACACTCAAACAGGTGTGCAGTTTTAGAGGGAAAAGGCCCAGTCCTACACAGGTTAGGTGTGGCCCCTGGAGCCAGATCGGTGTGGGATAAAATTCAGATCCACCAAGAACCAGCTGTGACCTCCAGCAAAACACTTACTTAGAATCCCTGAGCTTCATGTCCGCATGTGCAGAAACGGAAGGGAAGCCATACCAACCAGAGAGGACTATCTAAGGAACAGGGAGAGGCCTGGCGCACAGGAAGTTCTTGATAAAGCGTAGCCCTGGTTGCTGAATGCCATTACCCTTAGACCTGAAACAAGGGAGGGAGGGAAGGAGGGAAGGAGGGAGGGAGCGAGCAAGCAAGCAAGCAAGCAAGCTAGCTCTTGGGCCAAACAATCAAGGAGCCTGCAAAGTCTGCAAACAGCACAAACACAAAAAGGAGTAAAGTTAACCAAATGCCCTGATTCGTAACCAAAAAATATCAGGTCTCTTCAGTTAGCACTCGGAAGCTCTGTTACAACAAGTACAAACAGCTCCGTGAATGAGCAGAGAGCTTTGTGCGGACGTGACACACACAGGTCACCTTCCCGCCAGCCCTCTGTGCGAGGAGCCACCACCTCTGTCCCCATGTCACAGAGGGAAGGTGCAGGCCCAGAGATGTCAGCGAATGGCCCGGCTGGGGAGCGGGGGGCTGGGATCAGAAGCCAAGCATCTGGCTCTGCAGCCACAGTTTCCAGCACTCTCCAGAATGCATGAGAGATGCTCACAGACATGATGCGGAAGTAATTCAATCACTCATATTCTGTCTAAAGAAAGCTTTCAACCATGACAGAAACCTGTAAAATTGAATTAAGGGCAGATGTAGGGCAAATACTTTTGTTTTAATCACAGAGAGCACCGCATGATTAAGACAAAACAAAACACAACAAAACAAAAACAGAGGCGGCCTGTCCTGCCCATACTTGAAAGCGAAAGGAAAGCCTTTCCAAAACTCTAAACAGCATTGCAGGTGTAAATGGCACTGGAAACGGTCACAGGTCTTGCTCCACACCTAGTTCTTCCAGAGGCTCACATGGAGGTGTCAACAGTTAGCTCATATTCCCAATACGACAAACCGACTTTAGAAGCCAGAAAGGACTGACTGCCCTTTTCCGCTGCGCGACCGCGGCCACCATGGGCCGCACACCCGCTCCCGAGAAGGGCCCGATCCAGCCAGCCCTGCCTCACCGCCCAGCGTCCCCACCTGGCTGAGGATACGGAGGAACAGATGTACACACTGGCCGAGAAGGGCCTGACTCCCTCAGGAACTGGTGTGATCCCGAGGCTCATGTGGCCTTGCCCAAGTGCTTTCTGTGACAGGCAAATAAAACCTGGAGAATTCTGAAGTCCAAAGGACTTGCTCCTGATCTTCCTGAGGATCCCTATCATTTAATTAAGAAAGCTGTTGCGGGGTGCCTGGGTGCCGCATTTGGTTGAGCGTCTACCTTTGGCTCAGGTCGTGGTCCCAGGCTCCTGGGATGGAGTCCCGGCACTGGGCTCCCTGCTCAGCCAGGAGTCTGCTTCTCCTTCTCCCTCTGCCCCTCCCCCTGCTTGTGTTCCCTATCTCTGTCAAATAAATAAATAAAATCTTTAAAAAAAAAAAAAAAAGAAAAAAAGAAAGCTGTTGCTGTTTGAAAGCAGCATGAGAGGAACAGAAAGGATAAGGATGCTAAACTCTGGCTCATTCTGACCCAGAGCCGTGTTTAGTGGTTGGCTCGATATTCATAAGACCAAGACAGTCCTGTCCTTTCCCCTCAGTTGGAAACACGAGTCACCCACAGCCTCTGCCCTGGTTGCATAAATTTGTCTACGCACTCAAGCAATAAAATCATTGTTTAACCAGAAAAAAAAAAAAAAAGAAGAAGAAAAAGAAAAATCCTTTGGGGGGAATGGGCAGGAGGGCTGCAAATAAAGCATCCCTGGAGAAACAACTTTTGGCCATGACTTATCAGCGTTAGGGGTGGCATGTGATGGGGTAAGAGCCAGGTCTCTGGAAGCGAACAGTGAGTTGTAGGCCTGGTTCTGACCTGGGGCAAGTCCTCTTGCTCCTCACTCAGCCTGCTTCCTCATCTCTGAAAAGGCATCAACCGTGAAGGCTCCTGGGAGGAGGTGAAGTGAGGCCCGTTCCGCAGCTGCCACTAAAGCGTGAGCCCCTTCTGTGGACCAGGCCCAGCCTCAGGCCAATCTATCCTCACAAAGTTTCTTCTCTTCTTGGGACCCCTATGGGATCAAGTTTTGATGAGCCTGCAGGCTGCTCAGCACAAATCAACCTGCCAACACCCTGCCCAGCCACAGAGGGAATTGAGAACAGGGTTTTTCAAAGTTCCAGTGATAAATCAGTTTAGACAGTCATGTCAACATTTTCTTTAAAAATCAAACAATTTTAAAAAAAATGCAGAGTCCACATAGTAAGGACAGTTTCTTTCAGCTCTATCCTAGTTACCAGTTCTATACTAGTTATATCTGCGTCCAGAGTTTCAAATTGTCTGGGGGGGAGGAGGAATGGGGGTCAACAAAGTTTACAAGCCACTCATTTGTAAGCATGGTAGGCCACAGCCCCTGCCCTGAGGAGTTTACCACGTATCCTGCTGGGAAGACCAGACCAACACCAGCTAGAGCAGCAAACAAACCTGCCACAAGGAACCAGAGGCTGAGCTGTGGGTGTGGTCTGATGACCCAGCAAAGGGTCAGGAAAAAAGCCAGGAGGCAGGAGCAGGGCCCCAGGTTCATTCAGGGACCGTAAGCAAAA